TCATAATTAGTGAAGCATATTTTTGATAATATACTATACTGCGAACGGTAGCTCTTATGTCAGTAGGCAATGGGCATGATTCGTCGTTTTCACTTTATTTTCTACAACTGAGAAAAACTATACTTAATCATAGTCAAAATTCAAATTGAACAGATGAAAATCATGAGTGCCACTGTATCTTCAACAGCTGATATAGCTGGGGATAGACCCAGAAACCCTGGAATTAAATTATGTGATAGTTGTGCCTTGAGAGAGGTCTATAATTAAAAGAATAATTATTCTTGAATTTTACATTTTATTCAATGCCAAAAAGTTTACATGTGGCACTTATGTGGGTTATGGAGAACCACCAATAAAATTAGTTAGTTAGTCATCATTAACTTAGAATTAGAGTGAAATTATATACATATGAATATCTCATCACTGGTAGCTAACATTTACAGATTATATCAAAATAACACTTGTGGAATCTTTGATATTTGTGACATTCATCAAGGATCAGATATCTGGTAAATATATACAATGACTATTTAGATCGCAGTTTCATTAGATTCAACATGAGGTCTGGGAAGATATTATTCCTGTTGAATTACAGCTGTAATTCCTCACAATAAGGTTATATCCCCATATTATACCAAAAACCAAAATTACTGGACATTCCAGATATTGACTATTATTTCAGTTTGATAAACTAAACGTAAAATGGTTATACAAGATGATACCACTTAGCTGTTATCCTCCAACTTAAGAAAAAAAAAATCATATTGCAATTTTTCAACAATATTGAGAATATGTGTGTGCTATGTTTAATAATTATTAACTGATTTTTACTGATTTTTTTTTTGCTGAAAAGTTGTTTCTCCAACAGCTTCCAAGGTCCTGACCACTCAGCATTACTGTACCCATTATATGTGGTCAAAACTAGTTGAATAGGCTCTTGGCTTTCCCCAAGCCGCGAAATAGCATGATAAACTAATTGACGAGTTCTTACAGGACAGGAATATGACAAAATGTGGTGGTGAAAATAGTATACAGAATGATGTATTCAATAGTAAAAGTAAAACTTAGATTATGAGGTTTAGACTCCATATGGCCCCCTTATTTCCAGAGTAAAGACTTACGACCGTGAAGCTGTAAAATGCTATTTCTCTTGAAGAGATAACAAATACTAGTTTGAAAAGTTAACATACCTCAATGATATAGCATCCTCATGTTATATCAGAACTGGAGACGATACAGAATGCAGTCGTCTAACGACTGTGCAACTTTAACTGACAGCTAAATATATGTAGTCATACTCTGTTTTCCATATCTACCAGGGACAACAGTACTGTACACTACTACATTACTTCAAAAAATTGTAGACTTCATGGTTAAATTCACTTCGCTGGCTGGAGCACAAAAATCACCGCGTTCTTTTATCTTCGGTCAATCTCTATCTACCCAGTAAAAATTAACCCTAAGTGCACATCATTTTGCTTATCATTGTCAGTTTCGTCACATTTTGTAATTCACCAATTTTCGAGTTTTCGGACTTTTTGGCAAATTTCAATTCTACCACACTTGATCTCATCAATATCAGTGATTGTTTACGAATCATATTCGACAAACTTAAAAAGCGAAGTAGATAATGTGGCATCAGTCCTACCAACTGATTGTTACTCTAACCTCAATAATTCGAAACGTCAAAATAGAATTATAGTTATACCATGAACAATAACAATGGATCTATTTACATGAAAATTCATCTGAAGGCGGGTGCAATACTGGGTGATCTGGCGGCACCAGACTTCATTATATAGTATTAATTACAATTACAATGACTATTCAGAAATATTTCGCGAAAATAAGAATTAACATAAAACGCTGCTTATTAGCTTGGAACATGAAAATTGGAATTAATTTTTTCTTTGAAAGTTCCAGGTTTTTGATCAAGTTTTTAGGGTGGAACAGTAGTGGTGTAGTGTCGTTGTGATAATAATAATAATAATAATATAAGTTTATTCAAAAACGTTTACAAAATATACATTGGAATAAACATATAGGTAATTTGAATAAACTGGGAAAAACCTTACGAAGTTAACCTTGTAGTAAGGATAAAAAATAAATAAATGTACATAGGCCAATAAATATTTAACAATATAAAATTATCACAAGGGAAAATTGTCTCATTAAGAAATGAGACAAGTATTCAATTCATAATATATATTATAGTAGGAGGTATGCTATTTTTGAGGAAGTTGGTGTAAATAGTAAATATATTTTCCTCTATTCCCGATGTTGGGTGGTTGTGGTGTGTAAGCATTTATTAAAATGATTATTTATGGACGGGGCATTTGGTTTCTTCATTTTCAGTTAAGGATGAGAGCTACCTCCTCTGAGTTTGTTGACAATTGGTGATCCGTTTGATTTGACATAGTTCCAATTTTAATAATGAATATCCATATGTTCAATAGTTTTCCCGAACAACCCGAGATCGATGGAATTTTCTTCAATTACCGAATTATATGTTTCTAAGATAAATGGTATAGTTTATCCAAAAATAATGTCGTGCTGCACCTGCAGTCACTTCAGAGTGAACTTCAAACACGCCGACGCCGCACAGTGTGAGATATTCTGCAATTGATATTGGATATGGATATAGTATAACAAAGATAATTCAAGGAAACTTTATTTGAAGGTCCTACCGTCAAATGGCTATAGCTACCTTAGGAAGTATTTTTGGACAAATGTTGATAGGAATATTTTTTCTTAACTTCATCTGTGGTCGAGAGCGTGATGGCGCTGAGTTCGTATGGGGACTCCCACCGAGACATAGGTTCGAATCCTAGTTAGGCCATGGATGTTTGTGTTTGTATGTATACCTAACCCCGCACAAGTTTCGACTTATGGGGCGTTTGGTCCCAGTGCTGGGACCAACGAGGTATGCAATTGCAAAAAAAAAAGAAGCAATTCCCGGAGTAAAAGAATGTTATTCTGGGATACCCTGTATACCCTTGAAGATCAGAGTAGACCAAGATTTTTTCAAAATATATTTTTGATCTAATGTGGAAACCATATTCACTACAAGAACACTATGAAAAATAACTTATATTATTTATTAGTGTGATAACTATAATCCTCATGATACATGTTATGTGTTCCATTCACACTAGTATTCTTTCATCTGTGATAAGTTCAATATAATTTAATCTAGTGATAATGAAGCTACTTATTTTTTATTTCTCTTGAAAGTAATTTACATATTTATATAATTTTGTAGCTTGAGTTTCTCAACTGTTTCAAATTGAGAGCTTCAATAGATAGATCTATACAGGGTGTCAGATAGTACATGAAAAAATAAGCTAACAAGTTTCTGTAAACATTGTAATTAAACAGTTTCTGTAAAACGCATGAAAGACGCTTCCTTTTCGTTATACTGTGAATTTTTTAATGAATAAATTGATTTTTCTTCATTCACTATGAAACCACACAAATACGAGATATTCCGGTGGTATACTGATCTATCTACAAGCAAACAAGTTTGTGGTATTTTTCAGCTGATATGAATCCCAGTGGCGTCGTTAGACTACAAATTTTGGTGTAGGTGTCGGATTGTTTATTCCAGATATTCGTTCGGATTACTGGATAACCATAATAATTATCATTTTGAAATGTTTGCACCATTTCAATCACATGACACACTAGTTTTTGCCGTAACGATAGCTCATACAGGTTGTTAATGAAAACATTCTTACGATTATTTCCCATATCAACGAAGCTTCTCACGACCAATGTTACTATAGGCGATTCTTGCTAAGGAATACGCTCTCTACCTTTTTCTGATATAACTTACGTATGGGCCATTGATTGCTGTGTTTACATCATTTTGCATATGTTTTATATGAGAAGTAGTTGTGTTTAAATCGTGTATAATTCTGTTTGAGAAATTTTATAAAAATGAATCACTATTGTTGTGTATCCCATTGTTCATCTTGAGCAAAAAAATCCCGAATATAGCTTTCATACCTATCTATCAACTATTCAAATATCAAAGCAACTCTGAGAGTTCAGAAATATATCTTTGGAAATAATGAAGGTTATTTTATTGCAAAATCACTAAATCTGATTTGAAATACTCTTTTATTTCATCGAAAACTTATTGATAGATATATCTATCAACGAACAGCTTATAACTTATTTCAATAATTTTGATTGTATAAATATCGGAAAATACAATATACAATGTTGGATCAAACTTTTATTAACAGGAAAAAAGTCGTGCAATCACATATCAGTCAATCTTACCAGGTATTATATGCCATTTCACTTTTCAGTTGTAAAATGAATCATACTATTGCAGATTATTCAACTTGCTTCCGCTGTAGCGTTCCCCCACCGCGATGATTAATTGTAGTACCCTGTCTCTAGACGCTAGTTTTCAACGATGAAGTTTCATGGTTCATAAGTGTGAGCCAATCTGCAACTGTCAAGTGGCAAGTCCTATTTTATGGTTATGGTTACTCATGATGGTAGTCACTGTTGAGAATGAAAAACAGTGAATTCTCATTTTTCCGTGTATTTGTAGAATTGAGGTGATTAAAACTATGAGAAACATGTAAGGTGCGTCTTTTGAATTTGCGTGTATTTCACAAACAGTGGTATAGTGGCGTGCTTTGGTAGAACTAGTAGAACGAATACCTACCTAGTTGAATTTGACAAGACGGTGGGATGTCAGATTATTACGCCATCCTACTGTCATTATCACTCTCATTACTCGATTCATCACAATAATGTCTGTCAATAAATGTTGAAAATCGAGTTAGCAATGTATGAATGACTCCATAGTTGTAGATAAACACCATTACTGAACAATGTAAACGATCTGTCAATGGTCCATAAAGTAGTACCGACATTCGCCGTTCTGGCGCTACAATCTTAATCTCAGTCGCCTATTGGAATTCGAGAGATTTGCTACATTTGACCAATCACCGATCGAAACCATCTTCATTTTGTTCCAGTTTCCCCGGCCGGAGTGAACGGCGGCTACTATCAGGGCGGCGCGCTGCCCGTCCAACAGGCGCACTCGACCACCCCGCACGAGGCGCCGCACACGGTGACGCCGAGCGCGCAGGCGCCGCCGACGCCCCAGCCGGCCCAGCCGCCTGTCGGACCTGTCCCCGTGCCGCCGCACGCTATAGTAAGTATATAGGCGATTCCAAATAAGCGAGACGGATAGTCGAGTAACTTATAGAAAGTACATTGAATGTTTGTTTTTCCACCACTAGCTATAGAACCTACCATTATTTACTCCTTTTCAAGGGGTAAGGTGTGTTTTTACTTTTTTTTATGTTCTGGTTCCCACGGAAAGGGATATCCTGTAATGTTCAGAGAACATCGTGAGAACCAAGGGAAATAAAGTAGGAATTGGTATTCTTCTTCTTGAATTTCTGGAGGTTATATGCCTCGGGGAACACCTCCCTTGGCAATGTATTCCAGAGCCTCGCTGTTCGTTGGATGAACGAGTCTTTGGAAAAAGATGTTCTGCAAAGTGACCAAGAAGGGGTGCGAAGCCTCAACCGGGGCCTACTCTATCTCACCGGGTCGTAGTCTATCCCCTCTCTCTCGACGCTGACGTCACACTAGTAGGTTGAGATTTCACATCAGTCCGTACTGGTGATCATGGTACATGATAGATCATTTACTATAAATTTCAAAACCACAGTCAATCAAGACGAAATGATCCCCAATGAATTCCTCAACTTTTGGTGAAAAAATGAATCCAATAGGATGAATCAATACCGAGTTATGGCGTTGTAACGAAATTCAATTTTATTGAAAATCAGGACGTTGTACTACAGAATACTATTTTTTGCAAATTTGGAATTGGAATAAGATGAAACTAACTCAATATATCGAACTACGATAATGAATCAATTGAATAGTGAAAAAATTGTAGAGTTACCTACAATGAGTCCAAAAGAAATTGAATATAAAGAGCGCGTAAAAAATGGGCCGTTATACCTACCTACCCAAATTTAAATGGCGTATGGTTCATACCAACTAATATTGGTGTCTGAAAAATTTGAAACAATATTTCTATAATGTAAGTCACAACATAAAGTTTTGGAAAATTTAGCAGAAATTAAAATCAGTTCCCATCTCAATTATTCCGAGAATCAATGTTGCTGTTGTGGGTCTTTTCTAAAACCATTTCAAATATTCTGTTGAACAATTATTGCAAAATAAAAACAATATTAAAAAAGAAAAATCACTAAACTTTCAGGATGAGATATAGTTCAGATTTCAATTTTTAGTTTGTGATTTAGATGATGTATATATATTTTTTGTTATTAGTGTATTTCATTTTGTGATATCTATCAATTTTTTTTTATTTTGTTATGTTGATCATTTTTACAGTTTATTTTGTTTGGTTTTGTTTGTGTATAAAGATTCAACGTTTTTTTTTTTCATTTTCTCCTTATTCATTCATATATCGTTGTTCTGGGTATTTTGTTATTCAGTTCGTTATATTCATTTTTATATTTCTCATTGTTGAAATACATATTTTTTCAATTATTTTTGTTAAGTTGTGTTCATATGAACTCCACATATTATGTTCTTTTTAATTTCGATAGTTTGCAAATATATCCAAACCAAATTCTTTTCATGAATTTAACGTTATCATTCAAATATATACTCTTCAGCAGAAAATAATTTATACGGAATAGGCGTTTTTGTGTAATAACACACTCGAGTGATATGATTTCTAACGTCATCAAAGTGCGTCCTGATCAGATGATAAACGCTGCTAAAACTAAAGATAAACGCTGCTAAAACCCTTCGAGATAAAGTGGATGTGTATTATACCGATTTGTAGGCAATCAAATTTACTACAAAAAAGTCAGTGACTGCATATATCCATAGCTGATAGGATTAGCATGGGAGGCATCCGAACTTTTTGAACTATTATGTAATGAACACCAGAATCATCGTTCTACTTGAATTGAAATATCGGTTTGTTGTTGGCCTTTGGGAGTTTGAAAAAAAACTCAGTCAATCTAGATACTTTGCAAAATCTCTTCATGATTGATTCATTTCTGTGAATTGAATATTGGAAGTTTGGTAACTGTTTAAAAAAGAACAATTCTGAATAGCGTCAATTAATTTTGATATGCTATATTTCTGAAATAAATGATTGTAAATCAGTGAAATTTGATTCATCTTCTAGAAAATTTTGTTCTGTACATATTTGACCTCTTGATATTTTTCGCTAACTGTGGCCGTTTTCCCGAGGTAAATCAATGAAACGGGAGAGACAATTTCCACTGTGTTGATTTTGTCCCTACTAGTGTGACGTCATGAAAGCGATGCTCCGGCCCGGTGAGATAGAGTAGGCCCCCTGCGTAAACTCGACGGGTTAATCTTGCGGGGACTGCCAAGGGAGATACAATTGTTGATATTTCAGAAGAGCATCGTCCATGAAAATATCTATGAAATAGAGCCGGACCGCCAACTTTTCTACGGTGTTCCAGAGAAGTGAGTGAGTTTGTGAGCGATGCGTCACCCACGAGACGAATTGCCCTTTTTTGGACAGAATCCAACAGTTTCAGGGTATGTTTGAGTGCTGCACTCCAAATATGGGAACAGTATTCCAGGACAGGTCGGATCTGTGCCTTATAGATCATAAGCAGCTGACTGGGAGTGAAATAGCTCCTGGCCCAAAACAGAAAACCAAGTTTTTGGGATTCACTTTTAGCAATTGATCTTATGTGATTTTCCCAAGAAAGGTTATTGCTGATAGTAATACCAAGCATCGAAATGGATGTCTTCAAAGGTATGGTTACTCCTGAGAAGCTTATGTTGGGCACAGTGAGATTGGCTTTTCTAGAGAAAAGGCATGCTTGTGTTTTGATTGCATTGAAATCTACCAAGTTATTGGATCCCCATTCGAGAATTGTTGCCATGTCCATATTTATGTTGTAAACATGTCTTCCTCGTTCGTTTTTGATTTGCCTGGCTGCTATTGGAGCCCTGGAAGAGAAGGCGGTATGGAGGGTACTATCATCCGCGAAGCTGTGTACTGGACATGAAGTTGCTTCCAACAATATGGAGTAGAAATAGTGTTGGTGCTAGAATTGATCCTTGTGGAACACCAACATTTATAATAAGAGAGTCAGATGAAACTCCGTCGACCACTACATGGAGAGACCTGTTTGAGAGAAAACTAGCTAGCAGAGAACATAGCTGGGGAGGCAATCCATAAGGAAGCTTGGCAAGGAGTCCGTGGTGCCAGACTTCATCGAATGCCTTGAAGATATCAAGTGCCACGGCTAGGGTATCACCATATTTTTCAATAGATTGCTGCCATATATGTGAGACGTAAGCGAGCAGGTCACCAGTGGATCTCTGATGACGGAAGCCATATTGCCTATCGTTGATAATACCTGAATGTTCCAGGTATTTCATGAGCTCGATGTTGATAGCTTTCTCCATGATCTTTGAAATAATAGATAGCAGTGCGATCGGCAATTTTCCAGTTGGACGGAAATATCCCCAATTTGTAAGAGTAGTTGAACAACTTGCAGAGAACAGGTGTTAGTTCGGGAGCACATTTCTTGAGAACTATCGCTGGTATTCCGTCGGAGTCATAAGCTATCAAGGTAGTTTTCGTCATTTCATGAACCACTAGTAAATAAAGACATAGCCACCTCTGTTATAATTATCCACAATTAACTGTTCTGATGCGATATTCACAGGAATGTCATGTGAATCTTTTTCATTTTAATTTGAAAATTTTTATATTACCAAGTTAAAAAACAGTTCGTTTCCATGGTGGTACACTATAAATATTTTCAATCACATAACAGCTAAAGTTTTTGCAATTTTACATATAAAATACAATGAATTTCTCAAGTTCTTAGTCTAGATAAAAATGTAAAAAAGAATAATTGAAAATATGTTTAAAAACGAGATAGAAAAGAAGAAAAAGTTGACTTTCATTGTGAATTACAAAGATATGATGAACAGTACAATAGGTGAATGATAAATAGTGAGATGACCAGATGACCCAAGTCGTACGGAACTTGTGTGTTTTCAATGCCTCAGCATACAGAATATGCCATTTGTTAATTATATGTTCAATTATTATATTATATGTTATATTATTCAAGACTATCCATTGGTGAATATTTTTTTTTTACATTTTTATATGGTTTATCTTTGATTTCTAATGGTAACAGGAGTTAAAAAAATAGTCAGATGACCAAAGTATTCTCGAGTTGCAAACAACATTTTTTCTACAAACGTAAAAAAATATAGTTCTAAAGTAAAAATATGCTTAGCTTGATATAAAAAATAGTGTTGAACTGGCTTAAAAGGCCTCCCCTTATCTTCCCTAGGTACGCACGATGTTCCACGAACATAATAGGAATTTCCTTTCGTCCTTCAGATCTAAATTAGCCTTTGAGTTAACATAAATTAAAAGTAGAGTAGTGCCCAGAATTGAGCCTTGTGGAACCCCACAAGATACAATTTTGCTTGAACTAGTACCACCATTCAGAGATACACATTATTTTCTATTCATTAAGTAATTCTTCAGCCAGTTATAACATGTGGCCCTAATACCTATCAGTTCCAGCTTTTGTAGTAAAATTTTGTGATCAACAGTATCACAAGCCTTTCGCAAGTCCAATGAAATGAGTGCAGCTTTAGATGTATTATCAAGTTCACTTTGAATTCCAGCTATGGTATCTACAACTGCTGAGTCTGTGTTACTGGACGAAAACCATACTGATGAGAATACAAAATATTCTGTTTATGCAGATATTTGAACAGTTATTCACACATACATCCAGCTTTGAGGACTTATAAACACATATAGATGGATTGACTCCAATATACCTAATTGAATATCATTTATCTACTCTGTGAAATTCAACATCATATTTACTACACTTAATGCAAAATCAGGTCTCCAATATTCATTTTTTCAATGAATGAAAATGAAATGAAAACCAAGGATACCTCAAATTGGGAAAATTTTCATCATATAAATTTCACGTAATTAAAGTAGTGGTACATTCTTAATTGAATGAATATCTGCTATAAATCTTTCTTCAAATTGATGTGTGATCAATTAGGCTCATTGATAGTAGTAATAATAATAATAATAATAATCTTTATTATCCCCAAGAAAAATATATGTTAATAGCAGGGAAAATTATGAATGAGCAACTAAAAAAACAAAAATAAAGGATAGTCTGGCTTCTGAAAGATGACCGCAGGAAAGAGCAAAGAGCACAACATAAATGTTGTGATCAAGTCACTGTCAATTCAAAAAGAAATCTCGAGCGCTCGCTAGAAATGGTTGTATCAATTCAAAAGTGCAGTCAGTCATATCATTCATGACTTGATGAAATCGACACCATCTGCGAAACCAGATTGCTTAAATATTCTAGGCTCGGAGGACTGAACGCCTTCATCCTCGCTCTTTCATCCTAGGACTTCTTCGACATGTGGAACAACATTCAAAATTTTTCAGTGTAATGATTGTCATTTCGCCCGTTAGTCAGCCATTTGGATCATCTATCTGTATCTGTGTCTTGTCTTTTGATGTCTTAAAATGTAGAAATGCAAGAATGTAAAAAATGTGTGAAACAAAATTTAAAAAAACCTTGTGAAACAAAATGTAAAAGCACTCAAATTCTTGTGAATAATTTTTCATTTCATATTTTTAACTTGGCCTGTTTGTTCTTGGCCCATAAGGGTAATTTTTGAAACAAATAAACTACTTTCTATCTATGTCTTAATGTAGAGGTTTTTGGGATATTTGCCAAAAACTAAAGATATTGATATTTATTAAAAAAATACGTATAATGCTCAATTTTATTCACATATTCAACAACTAGTATCTCAAACATCTGAGACAACTCATAAAACATAACTACATATTAACCCATTAGCGCCGTGCGTTGCCATATATAACGCTAGGCAGATGGAGATTCGAATGATTCCCTGACAGTCAAATTTTCAGCTATCAGGGTGAGAGACAGCCCACATGATTCGCAAAAGAACCGGTTAAGCACATGCCGCCATTTCTTTGTTGTGAGTAATATATTTTGGCCACGTGAATTTGTGAAACTCTGAGCTTATTCGAACTGACGTAAAACATGGACGTCACGTTCGAGTACGTATCATCCTGTTTTCACGCATTTGATTTTGCGATTTTTGTTTTCATAATTATGTTGCACATGCTTTATGTTATATATGTGACATATTGAAAAAAATTGCAGGAATGCTTTCTGTGTAGAAAATTTGCATCAAATATTCGTGTTGCCATCTGGCAACGCTAGGCGCTTATACTCAGCGAATGTGGTGACTCTCCGGCCGAGCCAATGGATGTTGAACCATTGGCTGGACAATCTTCTCTTCGGAATTCTGCTAATACTTCCATTCCGATATGTCATAAGTCAAATAATCAGATGACTAAGCGGGAAACGACGAAGTTATTCAGCACCTGTCAGAAGAAACCAGGTGGTATGCGTCGTTTTTGAACTCACTTGGGTTTTAGACGTAGCCATGCAAAATAGCTGGATTTTGACGAAGACTGTGTTCGAAATGTGATGGAGGTATTTGTGTTAATATTCCAAAACATGTATCACAAGCGCCTAGTGTTGCCATATGGCAACAGCAGATTTTTGGGAAACCTGAATCCCATTCATGATTCTTTAAACTTTTCTCGTCTTTCGAAATCATTTCACACTAGTTAATGGCCAGAAAATTCCAGAAAAAAAGGAAAAAATAAATTCCGGCGCTAATGGGTTAAGTTGGCACTCTACAGGATGATTCACGAGCCAATGTACATACTTATGGTGTACATAGGACATACCTCTGCCATTGAAGAATGAATATTTATATTGGTCAATTCGACGTAATTACTAAGATACAGGGTCATTTTTCATTTTTGGCCAAATATGATTCACTCTGTATCTTTTCAGTCGTTTGATCAAATTTCCTCAAATTTTATACACTTAGTCTACTAATTAATGTCAACTTTCTGGAGTAGAAAGGGTCGCCAAATTCCAGGCCCGGACTTGGAAAATTTGAATTTGTCGTCTCTTACAGATAGGACACCCTGTACATTGGAATTTTCAATATCTGCTCATTATTCCTAAAACTACATGGATTAATGAACAGAAAAATGTTAATAACACGTTTGGCACATTTGAAGTATGTTTTAAATGAAATATTGCTCTTCGAGAAACATTCCATTTATTTATTTTATCTCTTGAAAATTTATAAAAAAATTAAATTATATTTTCAAAATGCATTCCACCAGCATCCCTGCACTTTTGTGCTCACTCAAATGAATTTTAAGTTACATTTAAAACCATTTCTGAACTAAATAAAATAACATTTAACATAATTATATGATTTTCTATCAGTAGGCCATGTTAATATCCCCTCTATTATTTGCCAGAGATGGTCCATTGTTTTTAGAATTGTCACAAAGTGTCTGTCAATCAGTTGATGTTAAGCCGAATTGCTGTTTTATTAATAATACTAGTATGGTTCAACAAATTAACAAAATGCCACTTTTTACTAATGCTGAATATGCAGACATTATTTATGTGTACGGATTTTGCGATGGTAATGGAAGAACGGCAGCACAAGAGTACGGAAGACGTTTTCCTGGCAGGAGAATCCCAAACCATCAAACATTTTCCTCAACTTATAACATTTTACGACAGACTGGTAAATTTCCTTCGATCGATATTTGTGTTGAGAGAAATGTTCAACATAATGGGCATCAAGAAGAAAATATTCTTGACATTGTACGTGAAATTGCAAAAACAAGTACAAGGCGAATAAGTGCACAGTTAGTTCTGTCGCAAATTCGTGTATGGCGAGTACTTAATAACGAAAATTTATACCCTTTTCACATCCAGCAGGTACAACGGTTGGAAGGAGGTGACCAAATACCCAGGCTAGCATTTTCCCGGTGGATCACAAGCCACAGAAGGACTGTTTTTCGTGCATTATTTACCGATGAAAGCCAGTTTACACAAGACGGTATTTTTAATACAACAAATTCTCATGCGTGGGCAAAAAGACAGCCCATTCCCAACATAAATTTTCAATCAATGTTTGGTGTGGTTTGATAAATGATTCGTTGATTGGACCTCATGTATTTCCTCAGAGGTTAACGAGCCTCGTTTATTCGGATTTTCTGCAGAATATTTTGTCTGGTTTGATGGAGAACATTAATTTGAGAGGAATACATTTCCAGCATGATGGCGCTCCGCCTCATTTTGGCGTTGACGTCAGAGAACACCTTAATTACCGATTTCCAAATCGTTGGATTGGACGAAGAGGGCCACTCCCTTGGCCAGCTAGGTACCCAGATTTCAATCCTCTAGATTATTTTTTGTGGGGACATTTGAAACAAAAGGTCTACAGCAATCCTATAGGAAACAGAGAGCAGTTATTGAACCGAATTGAAAATTATTGTGAAGAAATCAAACAAAATCCTCGAATTCGAAATTCAATCGGAAATTTGTTAACTCGAGCACAAAAGTGCAGGGATGCTGGTGGAATGCATTTTGAAAATATAATTTAATTTTTTCATAAATTTTCATGAGATAAAATAAATAAATGGAATGTTTCTCGAAAAGCAATATTTTATTTAAAACATACTTCAAATGTGCCAAACGTGTTATTAACATTTTTCTGTTCATTAATCCATGTAGTTTCAGGAATAATGAGCAGATATTGAAAATTTCAATGTACAGGGTGTCCTCTCTGTAAGAGACGACAAATTGAAATTTTCCAAGTCCGGGCCTAGAATTTGGCGACTCTTTGTACTCCAGAAAGTTGAAATTGATTAGTAGACTAATTGTATAAGATTTGAGGAAATTTGATCAAACGACTGAAAAGATACAGGATGAATCAATTTTGGCCAAAAATGAAAAATGACCCTGTATCTTAGTAATTACGTCGAATTGACCAATATAAATATTCATTATTTAATGGCTGAGGTATGTCCTATGTACACCATAAGTATGTACAGTGGCTCGTGAATCACCCTGTATCTGGCTATTCTGTGTCAAATTTTTCTGTTTATTTTCAGCAGATTTTCTGCCAAAATATTTTTTGACACAAACCCAAATCACTATATTGACATTCATTCTTTTTGCAGCCGATGAGTACTCCAGACCCAACAAACCACCATGCACCAAAACCAGAGTCATCGGAGGTGCATTAACGGCGTCTCAATCAAGTTAAGATTTTTCATATTGGGCTGGAAAATGCTGCGAATGTGTGACATGCATGTTGAATCCTGTTATATGTTCTTATTTTTTTCGACTCTTCAAGGTATACATATCGTGGAATAAAAAAGGGGAATTTTACTTTCTACATCACAGTACTCGAAAATTTGCCTTATTATTTAGAAGAACGGCCTGCCTGTAAACCTCAGTTCTTATAATTTAGTTAGCATAGGGTTTTTATTTGTATGTATTTTTTAATGTGAATCAAAGTATTTATGTATATAAGCATTCTGTCTGATTTTAAAACACGTATGAAAAACTATTATTATTTACTTGAAAAATTGTGATTCTTCGAACTAGGTTTTCAGATGGCAGAGAACTGAGAACAAAAAGGAAAACACATAGTTTTTGGAATGTATTAGCTTGAAATCATTCATCATTTTTGTTCCCTCTCATTTTAATTTTCTTCTCTTTTTGTATCATTTAGTCTGCACAATAACATTATTGTACATCCATATTTTTATTGGTGTCTTGATATGAATTGCTTGAAAAATCCTCTCTTTTACATTAATTTTAACAAATCAATTTCAAGCTACCATGTAATAGACTATAATATTAGTTTTAATAAGAAGTTTTTAATTACCAAGTGCATTATTCGAAAGGAAACTGAGCCAGCGCAGTTTATTTTCTCCCTAGTTAAAAAATAGTAACTATATTTTAAGGTTTATTTCTCAAAATTATATCTGTATAAATCATTTATTTAGACGATTCTGCAATGTTGTATGAATGGATAATAGCCCAAACAATTTATGTTAAGAATTTTTAGAAAGAATAAAAACTACTATAATTATATGAAGATATATTCTGAAGAGATATTTGTTCAAAGCAACCAGTGAAGATTAAGAAGTGGACTTAAAAATAATTCTAAGGTGAAGTGAGGTATTGATTAATTTCGTATCTGTAGAATAAATAGTGATATTTGTGACTAATTTCAGTAATGTACATTATGCTTAGGAATTATTGCGTATTTTTGTTTCCCTTCTATTTTCTCTTTCCATCTATATTCAGACATTCCAGATATTCAACTAGCATAAAAATAATATTAGCAGAGACAAAACAGTTGAGGTGTACTATTTGCTCAGTATATTTTTGTAAAAGTCACTTTTTTATGCAATTTAAAAATGGTAGAAAATGGTTCACCAACTCTGCATTTAATAATATTGAAAACGTAAAGAAACCTCCTTTCTGTGAAATCAGATTGAATAAAAGTACGCAATAATCCTCCCCTTATACAGAAGACAACACAATAGAACAGCATGTGAAATTGTAGGGCTATTGGACTTCCACAAAATTTTGAAATAAATATCCGAAATTTATGTTGATCTTTCATTTGTCACCTGATGAATCCACTTCAAAGTTAATCGCTGACTGAAAATTCAGCTAACAAATTGAGGTTCAAACTAAATAATCTTCTTTTCATATATTCAATTATACAAAGGGATTTCGCATTTCTTAGTATGCTGTAATTGATTTATGGATTATAATCAACATTTCTACAACTAGAACTACAACTAGAACCTTATCATCATTGTTATTATTGATTACTAAATTTTTGTAATAATAATAAAAGTTATATCGAAGATTGGAACCTTTGGCAGGATAATACACTACACTGTTTTAGCACTAACCAAACCGATTTTATAAACGCCTCGACACGTGTTTCGCTAACTATGTTAGCATCTTCAGGAAAATATTAAAACTGACTTAGAACTTGTTTTGATCTCCTGAAGATGCTAACATAGTTTACGAAACACGTGTCGAGGCGTTAAAAAAATCGGTTTGGTTAGTGGTAAAACAGTGTAGGTTACTCAAATGGCTACTGACCTGAGTCCTTGAGCCTATAGTTTTTTTCATTTGTATTAGTGTGCTGAATATCTTTTATCCCTGTAATGAGACATGAGGCCTGTTCGTTTGTGCTTGCTCAACCTGCTGAACTTGATTTTTTTCTATGACTTTCTTTGTTTACATCATGGCATGAACAGAGAAAACTATGGAAAAAAGATCAACTTTAGCCAGTTTAGCAATACAAACGAACAGGCCTCAGGTCTGATGGGATGGAATAAAATAAACAAAATAATAAATGGAAGAAATAGTCAAGGTATTCGCAGTACCTGGTATGTTCTTCTTCTTTTATGTTTCTTGGTTTTCTGGCTCCTTGCGGTACCAATTTCACCAGATCAGGTAAGGGAAGTATGTTGTAGTTTATGGGATATTCAAGGGATTTAATGATAATTATTGCCCTATTAGTCAGGTGAGGGTTGTTATCACATTTAGGGTTGGTGTTATGAGGTTTCCCATACTACGACTTCACATGTCTATAAACACAAGAAGGAACATAGTATACAAACAACATAATAACAAACCCAGCAAACATCGAAAGGCGGTAGAAAGCCGGGCCCATGGCGAGAACGGCGGGCAAATGTCGATGTCGGCATGCCTCGAAAGGCCCTCCATATAATTTCGAAGGATTATATGACGAAGGCAGAATGTACACATACTTATGATGGGCCTCTGTTTCCCAGCCGCTAGTCTTCCGCTGTATGTATCCAAGTCCAAGGGCCATCAAAATTTCAACGGAGTGTGCCGTCATCACTCACTCAACGTTGGCATCCCTCGCTCGCATGAGTTTTTATTTTGATCATTTTGCAGTGGTAACAATGATTCAGTATGGCGTATATTAATTTCTTTGTTTATGTTGTTTCAATACTCTCAACAGAGATTTTAGTACTGTGTTCAGTTCGTCTTTGGTTTTCTAGTGGATTTTCATACAAAGTGGAAGGATATTGAAATAAATACAGAGTGAGTGAGGAACAAACATATATACAAACTTGCACAGCTAAATAATGCCACTATTTTAGATAATAATATAACAAACACCATTGGACAAACAGATGCAATAATAGTTCGGACATGTTCAGCGGATACACAAGAATCTAATAATATAATAATATGAGGACTTTGAAGATGCATGAGCTTTCATTACATATGAATCATAAATCTATTTTCGAAACGAAAATCAAAGAGTACCTACTTGAAGAAACAGTTATGTTTCAAGAATTACTGTAGGTATGTATAATGGTGCATGTTTTGGATTAGTAGAGAATGAAATCATTCAATCTTTCAGCAACAAAATCAACAACCAGCAGCCCATCAATCACAGATATTAATGAAGAAATCACACAATGATCCAGACTATGATATAAATTTCTTCATGGTTTATGATATCTCACTTCCAGGCAACACTCATATCAATATGATAAAGAGTGAGGTTCTCCATATCTGGGAATTGTTTTCTTGTGGATTGAACTCTATTGTTGACAATAACTTGATCAATATAATAACTGATTACCTACATACATAACTTTCAAGTTATTAGGTAGGTACATAGGTGATGTAATTTTTGACCTAGACTTAGCAACTTTTTGAAACAAGTGGAGAAACAAATATCTATCCTGCATGATGAAACACAAATACCTATTATTGTAAATTGTAGGTACATTTTCATGATGAGTATACAGAGTGATATGTAGAACTAAAATTAAGATGTTTGATGTTTCCATAGTTGTGATATGTATTGTTTGAGATCATGGCAATAATATACACACATGGATATTTTCAGTTCTTGTTTTTGTATGGTGTATTTATACTGCTAGTTTCCTGGAAAAAACTGTGATATCAGGATTTTTATGTAATCATTCAACAACTTCAGGTAAGGAGTGAATTCCACATTTCTGTTATACCCAGAGGATTCACAAAAAACTGGTAGACCTCAATTCTGTTTTTTGAAGTTCCACATTTTTCAACCAGTTTGAATGAAATAAAGAGAGTGATGAAGATCTGAGTGAAAATGAGGTACTTTGTTTTCCAAGTGGTGATATAAACTGGGATACCTATCAAAAAACTTATTTTCACTGAGATATATGCATTACCCTGTATATTTTTTGACAAACCTAGTTGAAAAATAGGACATCAAAAAACAGAATACCATGAATATTGAATTCATTCAACCCCGTTAACCAACGGCCCTGAAAAACTCCTCTATTGGGGGAATAAAAATTCTCAAGCGGCCAATTAATGACAGTCTCAATCGGGCCGAAGATATGCCATGAATGCGGTACATTTGAGTACTTGCATCTGCCCACCAGAAGCCCTGCAATGTAATAAGCGGCATACTGATGGCTCTAGTGAGGCGGTCGGCTGTCGGCCGCCGGGACACGGGCTAGCCGGCCCAATTTAGTTGTACAATAGAGGACCGCTGTTACCGCTCGCCGGCAAGTTTCATTGTACCTTTAGAGGGCCGCAAAAATCATGTTTGCTGGGAAGGGATTTCTCATTCTATTTGTCTTGATTCATTTAGATATTGACTTGGATTTTTTCGATAAAGCGACTCAGCACTTTAATTTTATCAAAGTTCAGGTCTCTGATTGGCATTTGGTATGAAAATGGGGGTGATTGTACAATATTAATTATTTTGAGGTATAAGATATCTATATTTTGTCTATTGTTTTCACATTCAAAAAAATAAGATTAATATCTCCTACTTTCCCACATTCACATAGATCATTATCTCTAACGTTAATTCGGTAAAGGTGTTTTGGGAGGCAACAGTGACCTATTCTCAGTCTGATCAATGATGTGAATGATTTTCGCGAAATCGGTTGAAATATATTGAACCAAGGTTGAATTTCTTTGTACTGAATGCCTCTTGTGTTTGCGGAGTGAGTCCAGAAGAGTTGGAATTTGTTTTTGATTAATGTCTTAGTGTAGGGAATCAGGTCTAAATTTTGAATTTTATTGATTTTGTACGGAATACTGGCATTTTTGCAATCTCATGTTATCATATCCTTCTTTGTTTATTTCTGCTACTTGCCCCCCCCCCCCAACAGGAACTCTCTGGTATTCCATTCAGAGCAGGTAGGAATAGAGGAATAACAGGATTCCTATTAAATTGATTTTCTTCACTAGTAGAGAATCATTTTTCTTTGAGGAAAATAAGTTTTTGGGGACTTCAAATACTCACATCACGGTCCCTTTCACATGTCAAATTTTGCGGATTTCGTGATCAATTAATTTGACAACAGCAAATGACAGTAGTTGGCAACTCACTCTCCGCGCGGACCATAGTTGTCAGTTCGATTTTTATTCCATCAGTGAATACCTTGTCAAAAATTCAGTAGATTTCAATAGATCTGTTTAAGATCTATTTCATGCTTTATGAATTCCAAGAAAAGATAATGAAAAAACAGTAACCTATTTCCAACAAAATAAAAATAGAAACGAACAAAACAAGTGGTATATAAAAAATAGGAACATATAATGGAAATGAACAAAAATAGGAAACATAAAAAAAAATAAACATTAGAAACAAACTGTTACAACAGGTATATGAAAATTGAATTTGATCTAAATCAGATAAAGTATTGTACTTTATTGGTTTATACATATCAATAGTACCTATATGTTCATGCATTTATCACTTATTTTGTAAAATTGATTTAAACAGAGCATGACGAAATATTATACAATTTATAAGTGTATGTGATTAACAGAAGATCAATAATAATTCAGGTAATTATGATAATAAATAAGTGTCAAAATATTTTTTAGTAGATTATGATATGTTTCAGTAGATCAATATGCAAATCAAGAGTTCTACTGCTAATTCAGTAGAACTTGCAACCCTGCACCCTAACAACAACAGTACATCCTAGGGACTTCCCTGATTTTATACTAGGACATCCCAGGGATGTCCTTTGTCGGGACAACGTACATACTAGGTATGTCCCAGGGACATCCGCTGGCCACAAAAAAAGGCATCCAAGGGATGTCCTTCTGGTACGTCTCTGGGATGTACCAAGTACGATGAAAGGCTATCTCTAGGACGTCCCAAGGATATCCCAGGGACATCCTTTCGACAAAAGAAAAAAGTTGTAGGTCGAGTAGGGATTGAACCCGGGACCTTTGGCTTATCATGCACGCTTTCAAATTCATTTATTTCCTCATTTCAATAAAACATCTACAATTTCAAACAGAACAAACAACTTTAAAATGTATACATTATACTATCCTCCGCGCAGTGCGGAGTTGGCTGGTGTTAGCCAGGGGGAATGTTCGTTCTGTGATTAGAGTACTGACACATGAGTTCCATCTCCTGAAGCAATGCTCCTTTTAATGGGAAATCTTCGAAGTGGACCCAGTAGGGTCAAGGGTGAATACAAACATTGGCGTGCTGAAAATTATCGTTTATACGAGGGAAAATGAAGTAAAAACCCTCTCCAGATGATCTGTCGCTTTGGACCCATGCACGCACCTTGC